CATAAAAGCATGTTGAATTTTGTCAAAGGCCTTCTCTGCATCTATTGAAATGACCATGTGGTTCTTGTCGTTGAGCCCATTTATGTGATTTATGACGTTTATTGACTTACATATATTGAACCATCCCTGAACCACCAGATTTCATGCAGTCTCTCATATATGTTAAGGCCTTTTGAGCCACATTTGTATCCTTAGAGTCCATCCACTGGAGCCGAGTCAATCTATTTAATGTCACTCCCTTAAAGAAAAGCAGCTCTCCCTCTCCTAGTAGTCATCAGTTGCCAGTAGTTTTTTAGCTAAGGTTGGGACTTACCCAATTTCCCCTTTCCATCATGGGTTATTAGTTTGGTTTGTGCTTGTACAGATTTTGTGCATGCTGTCACCATTGCTGTAAGTTTATATGAGCCTCCTGGAAAACTCTCTTTCCTTGTGGTCATCCACCACCCCTGACTCTTAAAGCCTTTCTGCTCCCTTTTCCACAGTTGTCCCTGAGACTCGGGTGGCAGAAGTTTGATGTAATTGTCCTACCCAGGGACGAGCACTTTGGCCAGTTGTGGCTTTCTGGGTTAGTCACCCTTCTGTTACATGAGGAAGATTCACTGGCAGAACTTTTATTAATTACATGTGTGTATGTGTGTATATGCATGTAGAGGTCAGGACAACTTATGGGAGTCTGTTCTCTCCATGTGGGTCCCGGGGACTGAACTCAGGCTTGGTAGCAAGTGCCCTTACCTGTTGAGCCATTTTACTGGCCCATGTTTATGCTTGTCAAGCTTTCTAAACAATGATAATGTTGTAATCTGGCATTAATTAAATGCTAGATGGCAGCAGTTTGAAGTTACAGGTAGTTTTTGGTCCTTAATTAAAATTGTGGAGGATAGAGAGATGACTCAGTCATTAAGAGCACTAGCTGCTCTTGGAGAGGACCTGGGTTCAAATCCCAGCAGGCACATGGCAGCTAACAACTGTCTGTAACTCCAGTTCCAGGGGATCCATTGCCCTTTTTTGGCTTCTGTGGGCATTGCACAACACAGGTGCACTTAACATATATGTAGGCATAACACTCATACGCATAAAAATAAAAAAATAAAGGTTTTAAAATTATGAATAGTTAAGAACATTCACACTTCATTGTATTAAATGATTTTAATAAATGCTTTATTAGTTTACATTAATTGTATATAATAATGGGTTTCATTATACCATTTTCATACTTTGTGTTTGATCATACTCCCCATTACCCTCTTTTGTCTTTCTCCCACTGATCCCGTTCATCTTCCCAACTAGCTCCCATTCTGCTTTCATAGGGTTTGTTTGTATGTCTTTGTGGTGACTCAGTGAGTTTAATTATGGTCGCTTACCAGAGGGTGGGTGAGGGTTTGTTTACGGAAGCATCAACACCTTACCAGGGCCTTCACCACTGAAGACAGTGTTTCCCTCCCCCATCAATCATTAACTGCATATAAATCTTCAGGGATTCCTCTACCAGCTTCATGATAGGATGTTGCCTGGCCCAATCTTGTGCATCGTGTAATCACAGCTGTTGTGCTTTCAAGAGTATAACATATCATGTGCAGAAGCCAGTGTTCCACCCACTCTTGCCCACTTCCGCCAACTCTTTTATTCTTTCTGCCCCTTCTGCAATTTCCCTGAGCCTTTGAGGGAGTGATATAGATAACCCATTTATGGCTGAGCATTCCAGTAGTCACTTGTTCTCAGTGCTTTGAACATTTATCAGTCTCTGTGGTCATTGTTGACAACTGCAAAAAGATTGTCTGACCATAGCTGACAGCAGTACTATTTTTTTGGGAGGGTGGTCTTTTTTTGAGACAGGGTCTCCCTGTAGCCCCAGCTGGCCTAGAACTCGCCATGTAGACCAGGCTGGCTTTGAACTCACAGAGATCCACCTGCTTCTGCATCCCGAGTACTGGGATTAAAGGCATGTGTCACTGTGGCCAGCCTAGCAATACTATTCTATAGTCATAAATTTTAGTTATTTAGAAGGCAATTTGATGGGTACATTATGTCCATTTGTCAAAACAATAACAAATATACAAAGAAATCAGAAAACTAAACATCAAGAAAATGAACAATCCAATCTTTAAATAGACCTTACAAGGGCTAGCAAGTGAACAGCATAACTCAGAATAGATGGAGTGAGTGGACTAGAAAGAGATTGAGCCCTGCCATGACTTAAATGTGTTTTGGGGTGCAGGAGTGTTAACAAATGCTTAGCCCATGAGCACGCCTCCCTTGGGAATGGGATTAAGGCCTTTATAAAAGAAGCTTATAGAGGCTGGAGAGATGGCTCAGCAGTTTACTGGCTGCTCTTACAGAGGACCTGGGTTTGCTTTCCAGCACCCACATGGTGACTAACAACTGTCTGTAACTCCAGCTCCAGAGAAGTTACGATGCCCTCTTCTGACCTCCACAGGCATTTCATGACATGGGTGCACTTACATACAAGCAATACACTCATATACATAAAAAATAAAAATAATAAAATATTTTTTAAAAAAGAAGCTTGGGCTGGAGAGATGGCTCAGCAGTTAAGAGCACTGACTGCTCTTGCAGAGGACCCTGGTTCAATTCCTAGCTTCCACGTGGCAACTAACAACCATCCATAACTCCAGTTCCAGGGGAATCCAATACCCTCTTCTGACTCCGTGGGCATTACACAGCATGGGTGTACTTACATGCAGACAATACACTCGTACACGTAACATAAAAATAAAAGACGCTCATAAAATACTCAGGAGTCTGGTGTTCTGTTAGAGCAGAGAAAATGGACTGAGAAGTCCTGTGCATCATGTCAGTAAGTTAGCCATTATTCAGTAGACAGTGCATAAGGTGGGAAATTGGAGGCTTTATTCAGGAAAATAACATGGTGAGTTCTGATTTTAGACAGTAGCTCTACTTCTAATATAGAAGAGCAGTTCTCGTGTGAAGACCCCTGGTAGTCTTTATTGGGGACAAAATATTTCATAGTGATATTTAGATGTTACTTATCTTTTTGCTCTTACTTTTCCATGAGTATACAGTAGAATTTTCCAAAAGCTGCAAGACATTTTTCTATTTAATCATTAAAGAGACTTGAAAAATGTACTACATGTTTTTCTGACATAATTATTTATGTTAACATTTATTGGATTTAGTTTTTATTTTAAATTATTAAAAATATTTTGA